CTATGAGGAAAGGCTGAGAGAGTTGGGGTTGTTCAGCCTAGAGAAGAGAAGGCTTCAGGGAGACCTTCTTGCAGCCTATCAGTACTTAAAGGGGGCTTATAAGAAAGATGGGGACAAACTTTTTAGCAGGGCCTGTTGTGATAGGACAAGGCGTAATGGTTTTAAACTAAAAGAGGGTAGATATAGACTAGATATAAGGACGAAATTTTTTACGCTGAGGGTGGTGGAACACTGGAACAGGTTTTCCAGAGAGGTGGTGGATGCCCCATCCCTGGAAACATTCAAGGTCAGGCTGGATGGGGCTCTGAGCAACCTGATCTAGATGAAGATGTCCCTGCTCATTGCAGGGGGGTTGGACTAGGTGATCTTTAAAGGTCCCTTCCAACCCAAACTATTTAATGATTCTATGATTCTATGTTTTTACATCAGGTTTAACTTAAACTGATTAAATCTGCATTTTTAACAAGAGAAATAAAACCCTAAAGATGTATTACTCCCTCCTTATATGTAGAACTGTATATTCATATATACTTATACTGCAAATTAGCAAACGATGGAGAGGGAATCTCCATCTATATTCTTTACGCCTCCATATGGCCACCACTTACCCAACTACAAAATCGTGACAGTATGTCATTTGTCAGTGAACAGAAACAGGAGAAAAAGAGAGATATCTGTTAGATATCTCACAGCACGTGCATCCTGTGGGCCGTAGAAACCACAAGAAAAGCTTGCAGAGTAATGTTCTTCAGTGCATTAATTTCTGCTACTTTCTTTACAGTTCTAGTCCATCACAAGATAGGACAAAAAGGGGGGGGGGGGGGGGGGGGGACACAGAACCAAATATACCTCCTTCATTTCAGCAGCAGTAAACTTAAGTCTCCAAGAGCTGGCAGACCAGGAGACTGTAAACTATTACTGCCCTAAATCTCGTTTGCTACTTAATCCATTCACAGAAATACATCTGCTCTTTGTACTTGAAACACTGACTTTTGATTTCTTTTCTTGATCTCAAGAAAGATGAGAATTTAGTGTAGAGAAGATTGACATTTAATTTTCACTCTTTTGGGTGTAACGGTTACCTTTTGAGTTGTACAATACTGAAGTCCCTAATGATAAATTTGGGCACCAGATATCTGAGTCCTTAGGACATCCCACAGACAACCAATCAGCTTTTACCAGTGCATCAGAATAATTCATATATGCCATCTAAAAAGAAAAGTGAAACTAACCTGGAAACTATTGTTGAAAACCACAAAGTTGCAACTAAGAAAACAGAAAAGTATGTTAAATTAGTCAAAGTGTTCCAGAGGGATTTCACCATTCTCCCAATTGTGACACTATCCAAGTTTCATTACATGCAGTCATAATCTGTTCTGTTGGTATATATTAAGAAATCTATTATCCTGGTAGCAGTAAGTTTCTTTTATAACTGGCATTTACAGTCATCATAAGCATTTAGTGTCAAGAAAGACAAAAAACTAAATCAGATACCACACTAGTGCTACAGCAGTGCAAGACTGACACCAAACTGTTGTAGGGGAACACAAGAATCATTGTTACAAGCATCAGTAGTGGCACTGCCTTCATCTTCACTAAGTACTTGGTGGGCCTGTTCCCACCCTGAAGGCAGTCACCAGCCACAAACTCCATTATCTTTTGGATCTGCAGGGAAGCGTACACTGAAAACCAACTGGGCAGCTCCTGAAGTAACCAGGACATAAAGTGATTTCTCTATGACACTGTCTATCGGCCTTAGCATGAAGGTACATGTGGAATGCAGAAGCGCAAACGCAAAGACTATCAGTCAACAGCACCTTTGGGCACCACCGTTATGAAATATCCTCTGCGTAGGAGGAGCCACGACACCTCACGCTCCGGCACGCTCAGCCGTCGTTCCGAACGCAAGCGTCTCACCCCGTGTTGCTCCAGTGCTGGTACCAGTGCCGTCCAAAGAACGGAAAGAAGGCAGAGTGGGCTTAAGCAACTTGCGTTCACGCCGGCAGGCAGGCGATGCGGAGGCAGGAGCAGCCTGTTTGGCAGCCCCTGCGGGTCTTATCCTGCCGCCTTCCCG